ATATTAGTCAGACATTTAAATATAAAAATGAAACTGATAAAAATGAGACATTATCATTTATATGCCATTTATTCAGAAGAAAAACCTATACATAATATACACAAATATATTGATACATTCGCTATTAATAAACTATTCATTTTTAAGTATTTCTGGTCTACATTCATAACTATGAACTTAACTACTAAGCCATAGCATAAAATAATTTTTCCCGTTAATAGGGTAATAGTTTAGCTGCCGACATATACAATTTTTCACGCACACTAGCATCCTTGCAATTGTCTTATACACACTAGAATATTGAGTTGCCACAGTCACGGAGCTGTTTCTTTCAAGTAGCGCGGTATCTAGTCAGAGCGCACTATGACCTATCATTAATCTATGAAATTTAGAATAGAATTTGAACAAAATGTCTTCGCCACTTTAGTATAACTAAGAATCTATTAGAAATTTAAGTATCTGCAATTCACCCTATTGCGGCGGCACAGAAATTTTGTATATAAATGTGTTATATTATTATATTGTTCGTTGAAAATATGCATTGGTTTTTCCATTTAATCCCGCAAATCTGCAAAAAAATTATTGTATTTAACAGAATTGTATGGTCAAAAATATCCAGACCTATAATATGATCGGTAATCCTCAAGTGTGGTGATTACAGCAAGTCTTTGAAAGAGTGCTATGACCAGCAGTGAAGAAATTTTAACCGATGACGACGAAAAATGCTATAGTGCTTCCAGTATTCCAGTAACTTAAGCACTCGTCGTACAATGCGCACCTTACCTTACCTAATCTTTAGGAATTTAGTTTCGCATAATGGTGAGATGTATGTATAACGTTCATCGTCATCATCATTATTATAGTTAATCTTGAGACTACAGTGACATATACACTTCCTTCGGTGATCAAATTCAACAAATAAATTTTATTAGCATTAATTTTGCAGTGTTGTGCATGTTACTCTGAAAGTTCTCGTGTTTGAGAACCACTGTGTTATTATGATTCATACAACTGTATGATAATTTTAGATAAAGCTAGCAAATAGGGCGAGACGAGAGCGAGAGCGCAATCGTTCAGATCACAATCGCTTTAAACAACAGGCGTCACATGTGCAATTCATTATATCAACATAAGACATAATTTTAATTAGGTCACGTCAAGTTTATAGGGAATTCGTACTAGCGGGGTATCGAGAGTCGAGACAGATCTCAATGTACAGGATTTTCGGGAAATGTTAGAGCTGTTATATCTTAATATTGTATGTATAACTGCATTGATGTATTTGTATGGCTTGCTCCATACCCGTCAATTTAAACGCCTCTTATAGATTAGCAGCTGCTTTCAATTATAGATTGGTTCATACAACTAGTCGCAACTCGCAAGTGGAAAAGGGCAATGGGCCGATAGGAATTGTTCAATTACGTTTATTCCGATGGTTAAGAATGTCACTTACAATATTGTTCCGCTGGCTATTGCCACACACGAGGCATGAATTGTAAGTATAACCAACTACTTACTTCCTTGCCTTTAGTTAGAATTGAACAATTTGTATTAAATCATCATATTATTTCTTTTTAATATTACGAAGTACATTGTAAAACCTCAATGCCAATTAAACTACTGAAGAATATATGATATGTAAATATAGAATAGAATAATTTTTTATTCAATATAAATTACATGTGTAATTCTTATTGAAAGTCATTTTTTACTTTACCACTGGTTCGAAAAAAAACCCTCTGACCTGGGAAGAACCAGCAAGAAACCCAGCGGGACTTTTTTTAAAAATAAATTTTACAATATAAATGATAACGAACTATTTACAAAATTTATTTTAGAAACTGCTTGGAAGCGACCACCTCATTCCCAGGGGTTATTATCAACCATGTATTCATTTATACTATAATAACCCTTTTTATACAGTTTCAGCTTAATAAAACATTTAAACTTGGTAATAGAGAGAACCAGTACACTTTCCGGGACCTTGTTGTAATAGCGTATACATTGCCCGAAGAATGAATTACTGACTCTGTGGAATCGACAAACTGGCATCACTAGCTTGTGTTTGTTCCTAGTGTTTACAGAATGTATATCACTTTTTTTACTAAGACGATCTTTGTTTTTGTGAACATACATTAAATTTTCGTAAATATACTGAAAGGCCAAAGTTAATATATTTATTTCTTTAAATTTATCTCTAAGAGACTCTCTCGGTTTTAGATTGTAAATAGCTCTAATGGCCCTCTTCTGTAAAACAAAAATAGTTTCTGAATCAGCCGCATTTCTCCATAGCAAAATCCCATAAGACATTATGCTATGGAAATAAATGAAACAAACTAATCTAGCTGTCTCGACACTAGTGAGACCTCTAATCTTACATCATATATGTACGTTCAGAAATGTAATATATAAAAATAAATTTTGTTTCTTCGTATATTATGCGCTGCCATACCGTTCATCAGATTGCGCTAAAACTTTGTCAACATGTTGCTTGCACTTGCGCGAAGGTTATAGGTATAGTACAATTAACTTATAGTAGGTGGCACGCGTATCGTAAGGACAAATTTATTTGAAAGTTATTTATCATTCAATTAAAATGAATATATTATCATTCCTAATGAAACAATATAAAACTCTTCCAAATTTATAATTATATTTCCACAACTATTTCTTGTGCAGCAGCAACGCGCCGGATACCAGCTGGTATAATATTTTTTTTTACCTCTCGTGAATGCACAATGTGAATATTATAATTTATATTCGATAATAATTATGAATTCACGTGAAGAAAAAAAATGTTAACTAATCAGGTCTTGATTAGTATAAAATTTCTGTTTTCTAATACAGTTATTGAATTCATTTGAGTAGGAATTCTAAATTTAAATTAATGTCATATTAATAAATCTATTAATATTTCTTTTAAAAAGCAGCTATTCATTCATTTTATCGTCCTTTTTTTTAATCAATCTGTTTGCAACTTCGAAAAAATAAGTTCCGCTGAGGCGCCAATGTCATACCGCCTGCGTAACACACAATATCCAATACGTATTAGCACCAGCTACCGCAAATTACTCGTAGTACTGACCGCGTGGCAGTGTAAGAATACCGTGGTGTCGTAAGAGGCAACAGAGGGAAACAAACCAAGAGATGGGCAGCAGCGTCTTCCGAATAACAACGTAGGCGTGGCAACTATGACAAATATGAGGCAATCTATAGGAAGGTCTAAGTTTAACAGTGGACTTAGTATACAATGTAACGGTAACCGCAAATTAATGTACGGTGGGTTTTTGGCTTTTAATTTAAACTACGGCCGGCCAAGACTCAAGTCAATAATGACGATAGGAAAGCTATAGTGGAAGCGTATAATTTGTCACAACCCACGTAAAACTTCACAGCACTATATTAAAATGCTTTTTTTTTATTATTTTGAGGCTCTGGAAACCATAATTGCATTTTAGACTGAAAAAGAGACAATCATTGATTTTACCATGTCAAGAATAATTTTAGCTGCATCAGATCGTAGCTTAATGAGACGAATTTGGAAATTTTTGAAGTTAAGTTTACTGAAAAAAAAAAGCAAATTCGCAAAGAAATTTGCCTTAATTAGTGGAATTGGCAAGCAAATCAGGGGAATATCTATCAACTTTCTGTTACTTCTTACTAAACGCAAAATGAGTCAACTGAAGCTGTTTGTGTACGATGTGCCGACGTTATTCAAACATAACAGATCCTTGAGATCTGGATTCAGGATCTCGAGGCATAACGGCAGAAGTATAATGACAAAATTGCATACGATGATGTACATTGTACAAGCTTGGTATAAAACAAGAGAGATTTTTTTTTAATAAAAGTAAAGTGACAAACAAACTTACAGTTCTAACGGTAAGTGGCCACTGCAGTCCATGGACACAACACACAACCAACTTCAAACAAAGAAAGTCAACAGATATATAAATGTCATGCGACAAAACGTTGGAATTTTAATTTTTAGGCCCTAGTAGAACATACCTCGCGCTTTGCGCTTGCGGCATGCAATAGAATGCTTTACAGCCTGTAACTATTATACTGCCTCTCTATACCCTTGTAATCGGAACACAGCAGTGCGAGCACTCACAGGAAGTCCTCGCTAAAGAACACCGATTCCTTACAAGGATGATTCGCGAGGCTATTGAAATAAAAAAAAATCCAATTTCAATAGCGAAGATGGCTTGGTGCTACCATCTGCTTGGGATCCCATAATTAATAAAATTAAATCCCAATCCAAGCATACAACTGCAAGACTGCAAGATATTATAAGTTCATACTGCGTAGATCGTAACAAAAATTAACAATTTTAATCTGGAGGTAGCCGTGGTTAACTATGACATTGGGACGTCGAGCACCTCAGTCTCCCCGTGACCATGAGTGGCGGCAGAAATAGGTACCTACTGAGACAAACTACTAGGCGGAAAAGGAGACAACCTAGATAGACTTATCACAATTACCTTTTTTTTCTACAACAACGCTCGGACACACGCCACGGACTGGAACAATTAGTCCTTCCCGCTGTTCCAGTGCGTGTTGGCGGACTTCACGTGTGCTCAAAATATTATATTCAGACATGCATGAGGAAACTTCCTCACAATGTTTTCCCTCGCCGTTTTCTAAGCACATGGGAAATCGGCACTTAAAATTACAGTTGACATTAAATTGGTACAGGCGGGTACTAAACCGGGCATTTATAAGTAAGAAACCTTTTTTGTTCATTTGACATATAAATATTTATTAATTTATTTAAACGAAACTAACAACTATCCTGACAGGAATTACCTAATGCGAAACAATCCTACCCTAGTGAATTCACTCAAGGTGCAACAGAATAGGCGACTAACCTCGAAGAAAAACAACTACGGACAAATATACGATTTGTTTATTATAAATTTTCTTTCATGTAAAATGCTAAAAATTCTCATTATACTATTTATCTAAATAGTTAGATAAGTCCATTAATAATATTATACCGATCTCTTTCAATGGTTCCTCGGTTAACGGGCATAGCTTAACTTTGTTTACGACAATCACCAAAGTAAACTGCATTGTCACATAACACCGGAACAAACACTATAAACTTTTTCACATCGCTCTCACAGATTAAGTAGCGCATCGTTTATGCGTGCATCACACAGAACAGTCGGTTCAAAACTAACCCGGATTATTATAATTGCTTACTGCCTGTGTCAATTGTCATAGTCCTACCACCTAGGGGAAAAAAGCAACATTGACGCGCGTCCAGTACCGCAATTATTATTCATCCCGCGAAGTTAATTGTAAATGAACGGCTCCCGCGTCAATCTAGAACTTCGGCGCAACGGGGGAACTTTCGGGGACGAATATAAACTATCTGTTCTATTCCTGGAAACGCCGAGCATAGTAATTACGTGTTATAAAATCACTATCCGACTTCACATTTTTAATGATTTGATCAATCTCCAGTCATTTGTAACGATGATGCTAACTATTTATTGAAGTTGTGAGGTTGTGAAAGGAAACGATAGCGGGTGTTAGCATATCGATTAGCACTACCAAAGACGTTTACAATGAGCGCTTCTACACTCATAAAAGATTATAGAGCCTAGAACCTACCATATTTGACACATGCAATAATAATAAAAAAATAGTTATGAGAGAACTATGGTTGCCTGCCTACAATTCATAATTATGAAAATTTTAAAAAAAGATGCCGTGAGTGATCATATAACGCATATAATTTAAAAAGCATCACATAAACCGTTGAACTCTCTGTTTACGCTTTTATAATCGTATAAATAAACATGCAAATTTGCAAGAGATTATTTCATGCAGATGTATGTATTACGCAGTATTAACGCAGAGTAAATGGATCGTTGTTGACGCAGCGGTGAGTAATCCAAAAATACACCATACAATCAGACTAATGCGAGCTTCTAGCAAGTCTGTTAGAGAAAATCAGTTTGATCACGTTTTACAGAAGTAATAAATAAACAGTTTTAAGCGATTAAGGTTTTGTTGTCAATTTAATAATAAACTATTTTTTTATATTCTCACCTATTCGAAACACTTGTTAGCAGACTTCAAAAAAAGCAGAGTAAGATACGCGACATTTTTGTCAATTGTTAACAGATTTTAATGATTATTTTTAAATATATTATATACATTGGATGGTCCCTAGTAATAAAGTGAAAAAAATTCTAACCCCAAGGATGGGAAAATTGGGCATGACGTTCTAGTAGTTACCTTGAGCTTATAATAAGCCCCGACCAAAAAGAGTCAAAAGGGAGGTTTATAGATAATATTATTGTAGTCGGCTTTTACTTTTTATTAAAGTTTATATTTTTTAGAAAACAACTAATAAGCAAACTCTTTGTTTAAACACCACCTCTATGATCTGCTATTGAAGTTTTGTACACAAGTATTAATTAATATTTTCAATAAAAATATGAACGTGGGTCGAAAACCTACTTTTGATAACTCATAAATATCTGTAAACAAAAAAGATTGAAAAATTACGCTTTAGAATGTAACATAGAAATTAAATTTTCTTTTTAACTTTTTTTTAAATAAGAATTAGTGCCAGACTGTCCATCACATCGACAGAAAGTCCATCTGAAAGTAAGTGGATGCTGTGGCCCATAGATATCTAAATCTATCCACGTTTAAGAATCAAAATGCAGATGAGTTGTCACTCCCGAGGACTAAGAAGAAATGTCTTTTTTCCGGTAAAAGGGTCTCCAGTTCTCTACTCATCATACGAAACACAGCATCATTAAGCTGCTATTTTACGCTGGTATTTCTGTGAGAGTGTGGCCCTTCCCCAGTCGACTGATGATGTCCTGGACGATTTCACTACGGCGACAGCTTCCGCGTTCCAGGAGATAATATTATTATGGACGTAAGTCTACGCGCTACGTGCTAACACAGAGGCAATTACTCATCAACGTCCCAGCCTATTCGTGCTGAAAGTACGTTTGAGGACTGATTGTTATTAAGCAGCTAACTTGTACATAAAGATAAGACACTATATGAAGGAAAAAACGTCAATATTAAATACACAAATATATTTCAAACTGTATTGCGGTTGGATTTCATGGGTTTTGATTTTTTTGCGCGGAACCCTGTTTTTCTATAATAAAAATAGCCTATATTACTCCTGCTGATGTTATAAGCTATCTGCCAGTGAGTCCCGTCAAAATAGGTCCACCCATTTCGGGGATTAGCCGGAACAAACAGACAGACAGACAAAAATTTTAAAAATTGTTTTTTTTTTAAGTATCGTATATACTTGTATATATGCATTTAGTTAAAAGCCGTTGTTTTGACATTAAAAACAACTTCAATTTTATTTATTTGTATAGAATATAGATTAAACGTCAACTCACTTAACTATTATTTACTTTAATATGGTGTCCGTCACATTTCAACTCATTATGTACACAGATCTTACAGAATATCACTGAGCGTAACCTTTGACTCGCTATCGAAATATCTCATGGGAGGGAAATATCCTAATTGGAACAATGCACAATCGAGCTAGCGTCAGCTATTATAGAGCTAGGCACTTAGCGCCGGTGACGTCGCGGCCCGCCACAGGCCTTGGAAATATATTTTAATTTTACTCGTTAAACAAACTATTATTACGTGTGGTAACACTGAAAAGGGTGGCAAAACTTTTAAATGTACGATAAAAAGACATTTTTATGCTAGGTATATTACCTATTTGATTTTAAATAACAAGCGGGATGCGGGAAGTAACATCCCCCATGACATCCTCTACATGATAGGCTATTCAAACTGACTAGGCCTAAAGTTCGAGGTACCCCCCTAACTCATTTGTAGTCTTTACTTCCAATAAAAAGGACGATAAAAGAAGATCATTTTTGATGGATGTTAAGGAGCTCCGTAACCGAAACTATTGGATATCTGAAATAAAATAACAACTATCCGTAATCGTAACCGAGACCGATATAAAAGTTTCGGATAATTTCGGATAGGAACGGAGTCTGAATGAGACTGCTCCGATTTTAGTTTTTATTCTTCAATATGCAGACTAAAGTATTTACTTAAATATAAAATTAAATATTTTTTCGATATGACAAATAAGGGCGAATAGCTTTTATATTAATCTTGGGGCTGGTGTAACTTTATCAGGCTGTTAAAAGAACGCTTTAGCGATTTTTATGGTGAAGAAGTGAAGACTCAACTTCTGGTAAGGAGTCAGTCATATTGCTTTTTAGATTTAACAATCTACTTATCTTGTCTCTTCGGCCAAAAATCACCACTTACATTTTATCAGGTGAACTATGTGCAAAACTTATGTACATAAAAATTGTAAGTAATTCTTTGCATATCAAAACAAATCCCAATTATTTTCTATAAATTTTGTCACCCTAAGAAACAGCAATGAATTAGCCTTGCTCCTAATTTATGACCGCCCGATAATTAAGCTTAGAGTGTAGGGTTACTCAGTACTCACATTTAATGAGTACCACCGAGTCGTGGGGCTCGCACTGAACCTGGGTGGCGTTCATGGCCAGCAGCCCACCGCTGCCGACCCCGCCACCCGCGCCGTTCGCCTCCCTGCAAACATTATTATATTATAAAAACCATAGCAAATATAGCAAAAATGTTAGGTTCACAGATATGCATTATAAAAAAAATGTTTATACGTATGTATGTAATAATGTTGTATGATAGGTATTGTCTTTTTACTTAATAATGTTTTGTTTCATTACTCATCTCAGTGAAATAAAATAAGGTACATTATCTACATTTTATCCATTTATTTAAAAAAAAATGTTAAGTATAAAAAACCGGACAGGTGAGAGTAGGACTTGCACCCAGAGGATTCCATATGCCGTATAAACTTAACAATGTGCTAAGTAAGTCTGCTGCACTGGGGGCTGTGGGTTTTAATTCTGCACAAAACAAGTATTTATATGACCTGCAATGTTTACCCTTGCGCAATTTATGTTTGTCAACTGTCTGCACGATATAGGACAAAATATTAGTGTGGGGGTTCATCCATTCCGGGAATTATAGGTAAAGCACCGAACATTTTTTTAGGAAAAATATTTCTTCATACTTTCAACTGCAAATGTAATTTGTAATGAAAAATTTTTTTTTGATATAGCTACTAATGAGTGTTTTCCCGATATTATTTCTCTACTTTACCTGTGAGACTTTACTTCTTGCTAAATTTCATGATTCTAAGTTAATGGGAAGTGGGTACATTAGATTTTGTTAAGGGAGTTTGCAAGTTTCAAAATATGTGGGATAAAATGGCCGTATCTTTATGCTTCGACATAGTATTTTGAAACTCAAAGGGGCTTAAAATTTTATATTAATTTAAACTTGATATCTCCACCAGTCTTAGAAAAAGAGTCCAAGTAATCCCATAAGGGCTCCATATTTTCTTTCTTTTGAGGTACAGAACCCTAAAAAGAACTAAGGACTGTTATTAGTCATTACATACCTAAATTTTTTGGCTTTTAAAATTAAATTTTTGTCTAGTTGCAATATTTTTCTAAATACAGCAATGGCCGACTTCGCCTTTTATAATTAAATTACTAGTTGTGTGCATGGCATGTTTAAGTTTCAAGCAAGGTATTGAAGATCTAAAGAATTTCTCAAGGGCAAGGGCTACTCCAGTAGCATTTTAACTACTCTGTGATATTATTTGTTATAAAAAATGATTTTGACATGCTTTATAATATTATGACTAACATACTGAAGCAACTAAAATAATTATGTAGATGAAAACAAAACACCAACTATAGCAAATAAACAGTAATATGCCAAGCCTTTGCTGAACATTTGATGGCTGATTTGATGAGGTACTAAAACTATTTACTAAAGAATGTTAGGCAAAGAAATAGCCACCTCCAGAGCATCCTAGAAAGTCTTAAAGGTTTGGTATTTTGGCATTTGCTTATAAAGTGGTTGATGCTGGTATAACTGAATGCTTTAGATTTTTATATTTCCTTTTATGTGTCTATATTTTACAGCATTAGCATTTTTAAGTTTAAATATCAATATCTCTTAAAGACAAAAGTGAGAAGAAA